TTCTATTTCTTTTGGCTTTATTTTGTCTTATTGTTTTTTCCTTCCTTATTTTTTCCCTTTATTCCTTCTTTCCTTTCCTTCTTTCTTTCCTCTTAAAGAGATAGAACCAACATGAAATTGGGTAGGCAGGGTAGTAGGAAGGATCTGGGTGGATCTGGGTGGAGGGGCAAGAATATGATCAAAATATATTGTATGAAAAAAACCATTCTTCCTGGCCTACCCAACTGGATGCATATAGGCCCAGTAATGCTGGTGTGGAATTCTAGAGTGGTCATAAGTTTGTATAAAACAAGAGGCTTGACTTCCCTGTCTTTCAATATCAGTGTTGCTGATGTCACGTGATCCCCTGCTTGCCAAGGTCTCTGTGCATCTTGTAGGGTCAGGAACCTTCTCTTGAAACTTGGAGAAAGGTGTGACATGCCTTATTCTGGATGTCTTTCACTTATGATTTTGTGCACTCCTGGGGGGATTTTCTGAAAATTTATCTTGTTCAGTTCAGGGAAATATAAAAGCATTGCTTCAAAAATTTCTCTATTTGATTTCTCTGAAACTCCATCTGATAGAAATCTGGACATACTTCCTTAATTTAATACTGTGTCTTTTCCATTTTTTTTATCTCTTGATTGGTACATTTTATTTTGCTACCCACATTCTTGAAATATCAATGCTGCCCTTCATTTTGATTCATTTAATCTATGATATTTTCTTTTAATTTTTAGGGGTTCATTTAAACTCCAAGACAGTTTCCGTTTCAAGAGTCATTATGTTTTTATTTTTTAAAGAAGTTTTAGGTTCAGACTAAAACTGAGTGGAATATACTGTGATGCCTCATGCACTCTTGGTCCTATAAAGACAAATTATAAACAATCCCAAAATCATGGTGGTGTTCTTGTAATCAGTGAACCTATGGCAATATATAGTTATATATAGTTGGTGTGGGACAATGGTCTGGGAGAACTGGATTCTGTCAATCATGTATTTTAATAAAACGCTGATTGGCCAGGCAGGAAGTATAGGCGGGTCAACCAGACAGGAAGTAGAGTTGGGGCAATGAGAATAGGAAAAGGCTAGGAAGGAGGAAGCTCCCTCTGCCATTCCTCCCCAGACCCCCGAAGAGGCAACATGTGAACTGTCACACTGAGAAAGGTACTGAGCCCTGTGGCTAACACAGATAATGATAATGGATTAATATAAGTTACAAGGACTAATAAGAAGCCTGACCTAATTGGCCAATCAGTTTATAACCTAATGCAGACTCTGTGTTATTTTGTTTGGGAATTGCTGGTTGTGGGGTCCCAGGCGGGACAGAAACCCCAGCCAGCCAGCCCTCATGTTACAGGACAATGGTCTGTATCCTGTAAATTATACTTGAAATAGATGCTGATTGTCCAGTAGCCAGGCAGGAAGTATAGGAGGGACAACCAGACAGGAAGTAGAGGTGGGTCAATGAGAACAGGAGAATTCTGGAAAGAAGGAAGTCCTAATTCAGAGTCCTGACCCAGCTACAGAAGAAACAAGATGTGACTGCATTGCCGAATAAGGTACCGAGCACGTAGCAAACATAGGCAAGAATAATGGGCTAATATAAGTTATGAGTTAATAAGAAGCATGAGCTAATGGGCCAATCATTTTATAACTAATGTAGACCTCTGTGTGATTTCTTTGGGACTTAACAATTGTGGGAACTGGACAGGACAGAAACCCCGACAACATATAGTTATCACTGAGGGTTCATAGTGGACATGATCGGTCACTGGTGTAACTGTACATTCTATTTATAGTAACACGTACCCATTATTAAAGTGTCACACAGTGTTTTCACAGACATGTCCTTTGTGCTCTATCTACTTAGCCATCCTTGTCAGGTTGTCCCTGGAATCCTTAGATAGTTTTAGTTTCTCTGTAGTTTGTTGGCTGATTTCAAAGTCTGACTTTTAGGGTTGTTGTTGGAAAATTAAATAGCTTCCTTTCCTTAGCAATTGCTGGAGACTTTAGCTTCCTTCTTTTGCTACACTTCTTTCATTCTTAAATGTATTTTCCATCTCTCAAGTGCTTGTTGAAATGATTCTAATCACTGTTATCTTGTTCTATGATGAGTGTCAAACATTTCAGTTTCTTGATATTTTAGTATAATTTGAGGAACATTTAAAAATAATTGGGAGCATGGGTTGGAAAGGAAAGAAGAGGGGAGAAAAGGAGGATTAAGGAGAACTTGAGGGAATGGGATAGTCGAGATGGAGGAAGGACAGAGATGAGAGCAAAGAAAGAGATATCTTGATTGAGGGAGCCATTATGGGGTTAGCAAGAAACTTGACTCTAGACAAATTCCCAGGAATTCACAAGGATGACGACAGTTAAGACCCTAAGCAATACAGGAGAGAGGCCCAAACTGGCCTTGTCCTGTAATCAGACTGATAAATATCTTAAATATCACCATAGAACCTTCATCTAGCAACTGATGGAAACAGAGGCAGAGACCCACATAGGAGCACTGGACTGAGCTCCCAAATTCCAGTTGAAGACTGGGAGAAATAAGAATTTGAGCAAAGAGGTCATGACCATGATGGGTACATCCACTGAAACAGTCTATGTGAGCTAATGGGAGCTCACCTACTCCATCCAGACTGGAAAGGAACAAGCATAGGACCAAACTCTGAATGTTTTTTGTTTCTACAATGAATAAAACAATATAATTATATATAGCAACAAATAGGTTATGCCTCACTGTAGTAGGTAGCATTCACAGCAACTTTCTGCTGATTTATTGTGAAGGCACAACACCCCCACCACCAATATCTACTTATGCTGCTGTATGTAGGGTATGTATTCTGTCACAGGGTATCTGTAGGAAGAAAACCGAGCTACCTTGGAAATGAGAAGAAACTACTCCTACTGGAATATGAGAGTTGAAAAATGATGTTCTAATAAGAAAATGTATAAAATTGCAAAGCAGAACTTGGCGCTATAATTGTTACTATGTTTTATGTATATCAGTGTTTTACCTACGTGTATGCCTCTGTACCACTTATGTGCCACACAGTTTCAAAGAAGGCAACTGTTGCCTTGGAACCAGAGTTATAGACTGCTGTGACCTGTTATGTGGGTTCTGGGAATTAAATCCTGGAAGTTTGCAAGAGCAGCCAATCCTCTTATACGCTGAATCATCTCTCCAGTCCTGAGAACTCAGTACTTTCAGAGACATCCTTACAGGGTATAGGTCACTATCTCTCAACTTACCCATCAATTCTTCATTGCCAATTGTTCAAGGTTGTTCTAAAGACTTTACCTTTGGACACCTATAAATCCACTGGGTTAAACATTCACTGGTAAGTTAATAAATGCCCTTTGTAAAGAGTTGTAGGTGATGGAAGTAAGAAACACTCAACAGGCCTAGGAATGGTGGCTATTAGGGATTATGTTCAACTATACTCGTGGGCAGACAACATGATAACTATAATGTCTTAGGGTTACTATTAAGGTAATGAAGCACCATGACCAAAGTAACCTGAAGAAGAAAGGGTTTATTTAGCTTACTCTTCCACATTATAGTTCATTATCAAAGGAAGCCAGGACAGGAATTCAAGAAAGGCAGGGTCCTGGAGGCTGAAGCTGATGCAGAAGCCACAGAGGAGTGCTGTTTACTAGTTTCTTTATAGTTTCAGAGGTTTAGTATATTGCCACCATGGCAGAAAGAGTGGCAGGATACAGGCAAACATGGTGCTGGAGAAGTAGCGGATAATTTTACATCTCGATCCATAGGCAACAGGAAGAGAGAAAAAAATCCACTGGGCCAGGCTTGAGCTTTAGAAACGTCAAAGCCCAACCCCCAGTGACATAATTCCTCCAACAAGGCCACACCTCCTAATCCCTTTCAAGTAGTGCCTCTCTCTGAAGATCAAGTATTTGAACATTTGAACTTATAGGAGCCATTCTCATTCAAACCACCATACACAAGAACATTTCACTAGTGAGTTCTAGAAACCCAAATGGTCCAAATGTGAATAAATAAAGTATAGGTCAATCACAGTGTTCAATGGTTAGTAATTTCCTGAAAAATAGAGGAGGAATCAATGTAAAAAGTTGTTTATATTTAAAAATTGAAGTTAACTTTTCAAGAATGCAGATGAGTCTATATACATAGACCTAAATATATTTGAGTCAATGTGTAGGTATTCAGAGAAGATGACATAAGAAATTCTATTCTATAAGATTTATTGAATTATGAATATGTCTTATAATATATTATGCTTTTTTCTTATGAAGAAAAACAATCTTAAGCCCCAGCAGGCACAGTTTTGAAAATATGTAAATTGCAGATTCACAGTATGTGGCTGAAGATTCAGGTCAAGGGATTGGTTCTGTGTTCTTCTTTCCCTGAAGGAAGAACAGTTGGGGAATATCATCTTCAGGCACTAAGAACTGTAGCTAAAGTACTTGTAGTCTGGGATTATGTAAGTTCCCAGCAGGCTAAGCTAACTGTGGCAGATGTAGTGGCTCAGAAATGAGCAACGTAAAAATAAATCAAAAAGCAAACATTTGGACATTTCTCTATTCTTAACTTTTACTTGAAGACCATAGTCAATTATACTTTGAGATATGCCAGAATGCAAATGAAGAACTGTTCTTTTTATGTTATATTCTCTGATACATTCAGAATAAAAAAAAATGAACAAAACCAGAACTCTAGGTTGAGCTACTCCTGTTCTAACATCCATCTATTTTGAACTTGACAAGACGTTTGGTTTCATATTTTCATCTGTGAAATGTGGATGGTACCTTGGTTAAGAATAGTTAACACGGAGACTTTAAAGTCTTTTTCATTATGAAGTTTGAGTTTAATGTTATCCCTATTCCTCATTATTGAATCTTTATCTTTCTCAGAAACAAATACATAGTTATTTTGCTGTAATTAAGCCCAACTCTTTTTGCCAATCTTTTGATGTCTAGTTGGTGTACTAATGACTAGTGATAATGACACTAATGACACAAAACCATCCCAGGGCTGGGGCTCAGTGGCTGAGGTACCTGCTGCCCGAAGATCTGGCTTTGGCTCTCTGGAACCCACATGAAAAGTAAGTGTGACTGTAAAATGTGAACTGTGGGTACAGGTAAGAAACAGGTGGATTTGTCCTGGGAACTTGTTGGACAATTTAGTTAGCCAGTTAGCCTACTGGTGAGCTCCAGGTCTAGTGAGAAACTTGTCTCATATGAAAAGGTGGTGAGCAATAGAGGAAGACCAAGAATATTCTTTTAGACACACTACACACACACACACACACACACACACACACACACACACACATGTTCATGTGCACTTATAACACATGTTCACACATATGCTATTTGGATACACATATATTTTAAAGAAATAGAGGAACTAGAAGCATGTCTTTGAGGGGCTCCGAGGTTAATGAAAGTAGAGTTAATAGATTTGTGCAATTCCTTAAATTTTGTAGTGTGTCTTTACACAGTACAAAAGGATCCCAGATAATGAGTTGTGCACTTATCCCAGATAAACAAAGAGATAAAAAGGGATCAGACAAGTCAAGTAATGTTTGCCTCTTCCTTGAAACTTAAGTATGATTCGCTATTAAAGCTGAGAGCAGAAACGGGGTGGAGGGACTACATTGGGAATGATATTGCATGTGCTTTGCTGAGGAGCAGACTGAACAGCGTGGACAGAGAGCTGCAGTGCATCTGAGAAGTCACCGTGCAGACTCTTCCCTGCAGCACTTTGTTCTTCACATTGTTTTCATAATAACTGCATAAGTGACTTGACTACTTATTTTGATAAAAGTTAGTGGAGAAGGGCCAACCAACTCATAGGTTAACATTTAGTGGCTCAAGTGTATAGCATTAGTCACAAAGCAAAAAAAAAAAAAGCAATAAAAAATAGTAGAAAACCTCCAAGTAGGAAAAGAGCTTTTACAGACTCTGAGTACTAATTTTAGACTGAATTTTAATTATAGAAATAATTGCCAGTGATCTAGAGATATTGATCATTGACTTTTTTTATTATGTATAAATATAGAGTCAATCCTAAATCACATGAAAGAAAAAGAAGAAACATGAAATACTTGCAAATAAATTCTTAATATTTTAGCATGAAGAGATAAATTGACAGTTTACATTTTCGGTTAAGTAGTATACAAGTGCCCACACTTTAATTATCGAGGTTTTATTTATCATTATGTTTTCACACACATATTTTAATTCATGCTTTTTCTTAAAACTGTAATAATATGATAATGAAGCAATTTTAAAAACATAAAAATTCCTGATGGTAAGGCAAACACTGTAAGAGAGGACAAGAAAGCAAATGGATGATGGCTGAACTCAAGATTGAGGAGGCTGAGATGTTGACTGGATAGAGGGTGACACACAACAGAAAAACAGCCTTGTCCACAGGGAAACATAAAGTATAAGAAGGTGTAAAAAGCAAAATTTTTATTATAAGATCTGCATAATAGATACACCTCAGCATTCTCTATGTAACCCATATTGTCAGAGGCACCTTCCTTAAGTCATGTGGATCTTCTGGAGAGCTAGCATCATTTAGGTTCTGGTACAATACATCAATCAATCAGGGCCTTCTATATAAGAATATACAGGAAAACTATATATGCCCCATATAATATATGTACATACATAAGAATATTCTGTAACTCGTTTTTGTAAGCTATTATACACCATTATGTAAGTACATAGAGGGACATGCAATATTTGTGGGTGAAGGAGTGGAAAGATTTGGGACTGACAACAACTTTTTTTTTTTTTAAAAAAATGTCCTAGAACTGTTTAATAAAAATACAAACAACTTTGTAAAAATAATCAAAACCAGAATTTTCTTTATTGCTATAAGATTTGGTGGTGAAACAATAGTCTTTGATTATGAGCCAGTTATTACAACATTATTTATCCTTGCCTATCACTTCAGTATTCCAGAGAAAAGGGGAATGATGCTATGAAAGTCAGGGGACTATGGCACAAGTTTTTTCTCAAAACCAGTTTATTTACCATATTTTTCTTCAACAAGTAATCAGAGTAAGCAAAATTCAGTTTATTACAAGCCCTGTTCTGGTTTTGGGTGATACAATCTTAGGAGCCAGTGATTAAGTTTCCTTAAATATCTGGTTCAAAGTTGTGCAAATAAAACAGTGCCTGATGTTCTTTTTTTCTGTCAAATGTAAAGATTTGTATCTTGTTCAACCAAACATATAACAACATTGATTTACTGCCCAAAGCAAGTTGAGTTGTGAACAGGGTTCCTTCCCTGTGTTGATGGTTTCTTACTTCAGTGCTCCAGGAGTGCATATAAAATGTGTTCTCATTGAAGTAGGGCATACCTCGTGTCTAAGATTCACTTAACTTCCTAATCATATGACTAATGATAAACTCAGATTATTCTCTCTCCAAAAATTTTACAGCCAAGTGAGTGTTGTTCTTTACAAAGTATTCACCTTGGAAAATTAGATGCTAAACATGTACCCCGAGGCTTCAGAATTTTTCCTTTGACATTCATTTGGAATGTGAAAAGTGTTTTTGACCCCTATCTTGAGAATAAGCCAAATTCATTAGAAATGTAAGTCCATTAAATAAGTTAGATAAGAAAGTCAATAAATTCCATTTAGGACAGTAAATTTGAAAGTGACCATATAGTTTTGTTTGTGATTGCTGAATAATTACAGCAGCAAAATTTTTCTCTTGGTTACTATTTTAAAAAGTCATTATCCATTGCTTATATAGATTTTCACAGCCTATGGCTGAATACCCTCACAGCCTGTACTCTCCTGTTTATTTTCTATTTGTCTTAATGTTTCAGTTCCTTCTATGCATATTGTGGTAGAAGCCATAACATGTTCATCCATCATAATTTGTTAGCATTAAGAGGTAGATATTCTGTAAATTTAGTCCAGTAGTATAATCAATCAGGTGATTAAAATATTTTTTCTTTGTAGATGATAAATTAAATAGATATAATGATTATATATATATAAACCACACACATATATAAATACATATACATATACATACACACACACAACTTTTTCTCCTCACTGTAAAATGAGGGACTGGAGTAATCATCTTTGTTCCCATAGGCCAGTTATTACAGTGAAATTTCTACTTGTCTATTACTTCATTGTCCTGGAGAGAAGGGAAGGATGACATGAAAAAAAGGGGACAAATGATACATTTTTTTACATTCATGAATTTTCCTGAAGTGAGAGTACGAGTTATTTTAAAGCTAAGAAGCTGAGAATAGAGTTCCGAGGATCATCGCAATGACAGTAGTTAGTGGTTGGGCAGCTGCAGAAATGTAGGATATTTGATAGAGATTAGCTAAATCACTTCATGTGGGTACTTCAGATCTTCTTCAAATGTCCTTATTTTATTTGGCATAAGGCCCAAAGATTTAATATCCTGATATAAATGAAAGAGTGGGATATAAGTTTCAGGAATTGAGGGTTAATATCCCAATTCTCTCTCTCTTTCTCTCTCTCCCTCTCCTTTCCTTCCACCATCTATCCCTCATTGAATCTCTATGCTTATTGCTTGTCTCAATTGCTTTCTTGACTAAGGTCTCACTCCCTTTCCTGGCTCAGTCTTTTCCTTTGTTAGTCTCCATATTAAAACACCCCACCCTCATTTCTTTGTTCTCTATCCCTAATTACTTTATGTAATCAGAAAGCAGTTCTGATAGCTTCAAATCTAAGCTGGCATGGAGTAAGATTTAAAAATCCCAGTAAACATTTGCCCTTAATGTTTTCGTGGCAGAAGTCACTCTCAGTAAAATTTCTAGAAATTTAGTATGAGGAGAGATCTTTCACGTCTCTTGGCAGAAGAAACCTATCTATAAAAGCTAAAATGTAATCAGTGAGATTCCCTATCCTTCTGTTAGGAGGGTTTATTGCACTCTCCGGGTTGTGGGTCTTTATTTTCTGACTAGTGGAGCAGGAGGAGAGTCAGGCCGGAGGAAGCATAAACAATCTTAAATTCATCTACACTCTGAGTCCACACCAGAGGCATCAAGAAGCAAGCAAGACACGGAAGACAGAGACGAAGAATTTCTAGGAGTCTATAGGGAGTGGGGTTCTGGGATGTGAGACCTGGGGTGTCAGGTAGACAGATTTGGGCAGAGATGATAAGGCTCTTGTATGAGTCACTACACTGTTTTCTTCTCTGCCTCTCCAAGAAACTTCATTTTAGCCATCTTGCTTCTCAAGATGGTGTAGTAAGATTTTTAATTCTATCAACATACGCAGGTAGATTTTCATGTTGAAGGAAAAGAATTCCAGCTTAGGAGGAAAAGTGACTGCGTGGCAGACAGAAGCTGAATCAGGTGTAGGAGCTGAGGGGCAACTTGAGTTGATGCTTACAAACAACTGCGAGGATTGACGAGTCACTTAGTAAGTGCTCTTGCTGTCTTCTCTGCTTTAAAATGTCACCAGGATTAACTGGGTCGAATAAACTCTGGTGACTCACTGGCTGGAGAGCAAGAGCCATCCCTGCTCTGGGGCACTAAATTTCCCAGCAGCTCTTTCAAGACGCTGTCTATCATTAGCAAATCACTCCCCAATTTGGCTGCCTTATTTATGACACAGGCGAAGATGAGTGCTACATGAACTTGTTATGGAGCTTTAATCACCACTCATGGCCACCCTGGAGATATATCAGGAACACTCTCCACCCTTCTGGCACCTCCTTCCCACCCCAATGCCAAGCCTCCATTATCCCGCGGTCCAGAGTGTGACACTAATCCAAATGGCTGTTTATCCCATTGTGGCCTCTATTTTCAATCACAATAAAAAACAGAAGAGGCAGGGCATTAGAGACCAAATGGATAGTGCTAAAGAATTACAGTTTAAATCCTCGTTTATCATTGTAATTGAAAGGAGCTGCTAGCGGGGTGCGTGGTGCATGGTGCCAGTGTTTCCATCAAGGCATGAGTCATCCCCTGGACCGACATAATTCATCCTTCTGAAGTTCTAATGAGGACCACTTCATTTAGGTGTTAATCAAATCTAACAAATCATTGCTGAAGTTAGCAAGGGTTTTGTTCACAGGTGCCGTT